AGTGAGTGTGTGAGTGTGTGAGTGTGTGAGTGTGTGAGTGTGTGTGCGTGAGTGCGTGAGTGAGTGAGCGAGCGAGCATGCGAGTGAGAGAGTGTGTGAGTGCATGTGTTTACCTGAGGCCAGCGGCCGTCAGACGTGACTCTCTCACAGATCTGAGACGCACATTTCTTCCTGGATTCAGGATCTTTTCGACTCACTAACACGGACTGATTGAACTCCAACAGCGCTGGAACACAAACACAGATCAGCAGAGAGTCATTAGAGCCTGGGTTTAGATCATTTTTGAACAGAATTTGACAGACAGTAAAACACATGGAGATATTAACATTTATTCATTTAGCAGATGCTTTTATCCAAATTTCCTTAAAAACAAAATAAGCAGACTTACAGAAGGATTTTTATTGATTGATGTTCGATTTGAATGATTTTTGTTCTTTTCTCTGGCAAAGCTGCTATAGAGCGCAGCAGAGATTATCTACTTTTGTTGGCCAAAACCTTTAGCACTTTCTGCTTCCATCATCCTGAAGTCAATGGGTTTTTTGAATGGGTGTGTGGTTAAACGCCTGAAATAAGGTCTGCGTTGAACACAAGCTCAAGATATTTTCATGTTTGCTTCTACAACATTAAATCCATCAGTAAGATTGTGATTTTTCTTGTCTTCAGGGTTTCTACAGGTTTGATGAAGGTAAAACCAAGTCAAGAACATTTAAGGAATAAACGGAATGGAACTCAATACGTCACTCCAGTCTCTATATTTAAATGTCTCGTATGATGCTTCAAAGTTTGAAAACACAACTTCCAACAGATCTCCGTTACTTTTTAAAAAGAAGTCTTGTTTAATGAGAAATGTATTACTTTTACAGATGATAATTACACACTTGCAAATGACTCTAACTCCAATTTTAGATAAAATGTTCTTAAAGACTAAATATAAAGTTATGGTGACATTGGTGGTGTAGTTTGTTTGTAGCCTGTGTTCACCTTTTTACGTCTGACGGTTGTATTTAGGCTTCAAAAGTTGCGTTAATTGGTGAATATTATCACGATAAACAAAACGTGCAAGAACCATAAGCTTTTTCCGCTTACAGAGCTTCTTTTTTGCAATAACCCAAAAGCCAGTGGGTTCTGGATTGGGTTTTTGTTGAAGGAACTTCTCGACCTCACCTCCTATGACGGGTAGTCTGCAGTTCTCCGACCGCGACACAGCCATCGGCAGACCCGTCGCGCAAAACACCAGCATGTCCAGGAAGCCGCTGTGAGGTGCTACGACTAAAACTGGCGCTTCCTTCAGTCTCGCCTGACGCCCTTTGACCCTAATCCACAGGAAGCCCACGGAGAAGAAGACGGCGCGGCAGAGGAAGAGCATGATGTGATGGAAGAGCCACCGACGCCAGCCCCGCACAGGCTCCGCCCGCTCCGCCTCCGACAGACCGGCCAACTGCAGCCGAGCGATGGGCCACATGAGCAGGAAGAAGAGGGTGGCGAGGGTGATGCGGACAGGAAACAGAACGATGCCCAGAATGATTCCCTGAGACAGAAAGAAGGGGTTTCAATGGAATTCACTGGATAGAAAGACTGCGATTCTAACTAGACCATTTCTATCTAGTCTACATGTGTCTTTAGTTGGTCTAGAGCAGGGGTGTCAAACTCAGTTCCTGGAGGGCCGGAGCCCTGCAGAGTTTTGTTCCAGTCCTGTGCCAACACACATACCATGAAGTTTTCAAATAAGCCTGAAGGACTTGATTGGTTGGATCCGGTGCGTTTAATTAGGGTTGAATCTAAACTCTGCAGAGCTCCGGCCCTCCATGAATTGAGTTTGACACCCCTGATCTAGATGGTTGATTGATTTCAACCTGGTTAGAGCTACCAAACCAATTTAAACCAGCAACAAACCAATTTACAGACTGGTTTAGCTGGTTTCTGAAAATGCCCATGATTAGTTTAGACTGGTTTATGAGGTTTCTTCTCACAGTGAAACTCTTAATTATTTGTTTATTTGGTAAAGTACTTGTATAATAAGTGGGATAATGTACAGCCACACAAAATTATATTAACTAACTATACAATAAAATACAGCCATATATAATGTTTAAACTTGACTTAAAATGTAAGCTGAAATAAGCTAGCAAGTCATAATTATAAAAGGAAATACTGAAAAATGAACACAGTAACCACAGTTTCAGCCAAAATACAACCGATTCAGTTGCCTACAAGCCCATACTAAATTAATATGAGACTTTCAAGATGACAGTAAACACAAATATATATAATTTTACAATACTACATTGTGGTTGCAGTTAAGCTACAATACAATGTTTCACCTAAAACAAGACAGAGTTGACATATTTCTGTTTAAATTACATTTAAAGCACAAATAGGTCTTATTTTAATACAATCAAAATAAATACTTGACAAATAACCCTTGTGAACTATTATATTTAGCTGTTTTTATATTTTGGCAAAGGCTTTGGAGGAGAATATCAAACACGCGGGCCGCTCCACTAAAGCGTTACATTTAAGCGTTACATTTAAGTGTTACATTTAGCGTTTAGTTCTGTTAAATTCGTTCACTGCTGGGTTTAGTTTCAATGTAACAACAATCTTGGCGGAAACTTCGGTTACCATGGTGATGTTTGTGACGTGCGCGCAGGCGAACGCGTGAGGATGACTGAGAGGATCTTACCCGAATCCGCTGAGCTGCTGTTACATTCACTTCATACGCGAACGGATGCGTCTTCATCATCATCATCATCACCTAACGCGAAATGAACGTCAGTAAACCGATCAATCGCAGCCAGGAGTAGTGTGCAAAAGAAGTCAAAGATCCCAAACAAATGGCTGGATTAAAAATTGAGAAGGCGGTGATACTAAAAGGAAGCTTAAGGAGTATTTGTGTGAAACGAAGCCGAACCCATCTGATAAAACACTGAACTAGAAGCCTGAAGCTTTACGAGCTGAACCCCGCCCACTAAACGCACGCTTGGCCCCGCCCTCTTAAGCACACAGCCGTCAATCAACGAGACCCCGCCCACTGAAACGCGCCCTGGTCTCTCACTCAAGTCTTTCTTCATCACAAACTCTCTTATTAAGTACAGTATTCACTGATTTATTATTCTTGCTGATTCTTTTACACATAAATGTACATTTTTTAGGCAAGAATCCAATTTTTCTGATAGATTATAAAACCTTAAAAAAGTAAAAAATGACAGTCTCTCTCAATGTTTATCCATGTAAAAGTTTTTTCTCTGGATTTTATATATATATATATATATATATACATTTCAAAATTTACAATACATTTTAAATATAAAATTATTTATATATATATATATTTCTGTATATACTTGATCTTAAAGCATTTGGCATAAATAAAGATCCAAAAATCAGTCAATGTGTCTAATTGTGTTGTTTTTGCATAAATACAATAATACCACCACAAACACTTCCAAACTACAGTTAACTACAAAAATGTAGTGAATATTCATATTTTCTCTGAAACTGTGTTCGATAAAGTTTCTTTAGGCTATAAACGACAAACTCTATTCTTGTAATGTGAATCTATATTTGTAAATGTCAAATGAACTGGTAGCCTACAACAGTCAGGGGCACCCGGAAATATAGATATTTGTCATAAAACCCTGAAGTCATGTGACGAGTCATTCATATTTCTGGCGTTTCTATTGAAAACCCTTTAGGAAGGGAAAGGATTTTTAGAGTATCTGCTAAAAGTTCCTCGTCCGCTTCCACAAAGCCACAAGTCTCCTATTAGATTTGATAGATATTTTATCCACGTGAAGCTTTCCTTCTTCTTCTCTCCGCTTGTGGATGATGTTTCTGTGTTTCTCTGAGAGTTCACTGACCCCAGAAGAGATGTTTGTGTGCTGAGTGCTTCCATTCTCACACAAACAAGTCCGTTTGGTTCTGAGTCTGCTGCTGAGCTCCAGAGAAACCCGTCTGGGCGGAGGCCCTGCTCTCCAGCATTCCTCATCTGAGCTCACACACATCAGAGGAGCGGCTGAGATCAGGCTCAACTAGTACATCCAGCTCAGCTGCACTCTCTGTTGTCAAATGATCCGAAGCGTTCAAGCATTCTCGTCCCTTATCCAGAGAAAGAGTTTCGTTCTGAAACACTTCAAAAAAAAAGAATAAAAACAAATCAACAATTCTCAGAAAAAACAGAGAAAATGAGAACAACTTCCAAACTTTGACTTGTAGTGTTTTATAATAATAGTGTTCATTATACTTCTTTTACTTCAAGCCGATTTTAATATATATATAAAAAAAACAATTATATGTCTTTAATAATAAATACGTCTATAATATGTCTTTCAAATATCTTCCTTTCCTATTTCCTTTAAGCTAAAATTTGACATTCAAAAAGATTTTAATATGATTTTAAAAAAAACTGCATTTGGGGTGAAATATGATTCAGATATTAACTTCACCTAAACTAAATATGATTCACTCTTTATGTAGAAGTATGTATTTAATATATATAAATGTAATAATTTAAGTATGCATGTGTATATATATATATATACACACACACATACATATATATAACTAATGTACTTAACATAAATGTTTTTAATGTCTTTATATCCTTCTTGCACTTTAAGCCAAAATATAAAAATACATTTAATATATATATATATATAACAATTTCTTATTGTTTTGCCATTTGCATTAGAGGTGAAATATGACCCAGACATGTCGTTTAAATATAATTTCACCCAAACAAGGAATGTTTATTTTAAATATGTCTATAAGAATAAAATCTTTATATATCCTTCTTTTACATTAAGCTAAAATTGTATATTAAAAACTATATATATAGATATAAATCAATCAAGTTTTTATTGTTTTCCCATTTGCATTTAGGGTGAAATATGACTCAAATTTTAATTTCACCTATGCAGAAAAAAAAAAAAAATTTCAACAATTAAATGTGCGTAAAAAGTCACATCCATAGTCAAACTTCCACTTCAGAGCAGCAAAACATTAAACAAACTTTATTAATTTGAAGAAAATCACAGAACAAATCTAAACACAAGAGATCAGCATTAACACAAATCATCAGTATAACTTAACTATCAGCATGAGGGGGTTAAAGGTTTCATGTTAAATACACTGTGTGTGTGTGTGTGAGTGTGAGTGAGTGTGAGTGAGTGAGTGAGAGACATGTACATGATGAAGAGGTTCATGGGAATCTGCTTCAGCGGGCCCAGCGCCACGTCCCAGCACCTCTACACACACACACATTTCAAATTGACATTGAAATATCTGAACAATATCTAAATATCCCAAAAAAATAAAAACACAAGAAAAACTAAACAATATAACTATAAATAAAAACTTACAATTGTTTCAGATGTGCAATGTTTTTTCTGTATTTTCAGACGTTTTATGTTGTTTATACAATATGCTGAATTATATATATACTGTATATTATTATATATTTCCCATTCATTTCCTGACAGCCACTTTTTTGCTGAAATAAAATAAGTTATTTTTTTTTAACAATTTATAGTTCTATACATTTGAAAGTTTCTTTGAAGCATCCAGCTGTGTTTGATGGTATTAGTCAGCTATGATAACTGTGTTCTGTGTGAGCAGAGGAGCTCAGATCAGCACCTTCTCCAGCAGGTCACGGTCAGCCTCCTGCACGCTGGGGTCCGGGACGGGTTTATCTGAGAATCCCACCGGATACACGACCTCTCCGTCTTTACTCTGCCTGTCTCCGCGGATCCTGCTGAGAGGAGCACAGAAGACCGCGTCAGGAGCAGAGCTCGGAGCTAAAGAGGTCTTCACGAGGTCCCACCCGAGACACGAGCGGGTTCCGCTCCTAGACTTCGACGAGCGTCTCGGTATCAGCGTCTCGGCTAATTTAAAATCAATGTGCTTTCTCCAAACGGACCGGATAAGACCCGAATTCTTTTAAACTATCCTGGATGTTCACTTGCACGCTTGTGTTGATTGAGGAACGCACACACTACCAGTCAAAAGTTTCTGAACAGTAAGATTTTTCATGTTTCTTAAAGAAGTCTCTTCTGCTCACCAAGCCAGCATTTATCTGATTAAAAATACAAAAAATACAGTAAAAATTGTTAAAATATTATTATAATTTAATACAGCTGTTTTCGCTGTGAATATCTGTTAAACTGTAATTTATTGCTCTGTATTTTCAGCATTACTCCAGTCTTCAGTGTCACATGATCTTCAGAAATCATTCTAATATGCTGATTTGCTGCTCGAGAAACATTTCTGATTATTATCAATGTTGAAAACAGTCGTGCAGACTATTTTTTCAGGTTTCTTTGATGAATAGAAAGTTCAGAAGAACAGCATTTATCTTAAATGGAAATCTGTTGTAACATTATAAATGTCTTTATCGTCACTTTTGATCAATTTAAAGCATCCTTGCTAAGTAAAAATAATAATTTCTATAATTTCTTTCCTCAAAAAATTAAAATTATACTGACTCCAAGCTTTTGAATGGTGGAGTGTATAATGTGATAAATGCATTTTATTTCAGATACATGCTGATCTTTGGATCTTTCTATTCATCAAAGAATCCTGAAATTTTTTTTTCAAATTAACAATAATAATAATAATGAATGTTTCTCGAGCAGCATATTATACTGATTTCTGAAGATCATGTGACACTGAAGACTGGAGTAATGATGCTGAAAATACAGCTTTGATCACAGAAATACATTACAGTTTAACAGAGATTCACATAGAAAACAGCTGTTTTACATCATAATAATATTTCACAATATTACTGCTTTTTTTGCTGTATTTCTGATCAAATAAATGCAGGCTTGGTGAGCAGAAGAGACTTCTTTAAAACACATTAAAAATCTTCCTGTTCAGGAACTTTTGACTGGTAGTGTAGAAAAGGAGCACACGTTTGTAACCTCGCACACAGAAATCCTCAGGAAAAGCTTTTCTTTGTTGTGTGCAGAAGCCTTTCGTCAGATTAGGTTGCAGACCACACTAGCGAGTCCATGATTTATTAGGCTATCGAGTTAATAAAAATCAAGCTGTCACGTTTATTGTTACAATCCACTGGTCACAACTGAAAGCCGAACTCAGAAATAACTTGTATCCATCAGGCATGCAGTAATATAAAGTCATAATAAATTAAATAAATGTTAAATAAATCAAACTACTGACTGCGGGGCTGTGCACACGTCAATGCTTTTTACGTTCGGGTCGGGTTTCTCTTTAAAAATAATAACGTATGCATGCGGGGTTTGGGTAAGAAGTGGCCGGGGTCGGGTTCAGATCTCAGCTCCAGCGCCCACTGCATCCGCTTGCTCGTGGCCCCGCCCCCCGGTGACGTCATCGCGTCGGATCCAGCTGAACATGCGAGAACGAAACCGAGAATACAAGACCTTTCACAACAGCATGCCACGCACACACTCCGAACCTGTCTGGAGATCGAGCTGAATGTTTAAGCATTGATTTATTGTTACACAAAGCGTCTAAATAAAGCAATAAGCCCCATGGTTTACCGTGAATTTATAACAGCGAAGGGGCGTTGTTAGGTACGACGCGAAGCGGTTATTCCATATACGTAGTAAGGTTTCACAAAATAAAACAGAGCAAATAAAGTGTAATGATATTAATAAAAACAGTATTCTTCCACCAAACAATGTAGCTCCTCAGAAACAGTTGTGGTTGCTACAAAGTGGTTGCCGAGCAACACACAAACGTAAACAAAGGTATATGTTTGTAGAGTAATTTACAACAGCGGCTCAAACAATTCTCTCCGTTTCTCGTTGATTTTCCTCATTCTCCTCTATAATGTGATCTCTGATGAACTTTGCACAACGATTATCAACCATATTATCACAGATATAACAGAATGACTTGCATCATATTACATTTACATCTTTATTTATGACACAACGAACAGGTAAACACGGACAGATCGGAGACTGATCTCACCGTCCGACGCTCGTCGATCAGCCGTTAATCAAAAGATAACAACTATTAGATGCTATCTGATCAGACCGATTCAGATTTAATGATCAAATAAAAATCAGAAGGAAACATGCCGCTCTGCGCACAGGAAGCTGCGGATGACGTCACTTCCGTCCCCAACACATGACGTCAGAGACCTAAAAGAAACAGAAAGAGCAGCGCATGAAGTTGTTCGTTTGATTCAGCCAGTGAGACATATTGAATATCTAATATTTAAATGTATCAAATTAAAGACTCGATTCTCTCGTAAAGATATATTTTTGTTGTATAAAAATAAGGGTTTGGAGCAAAATTTGGTGATTAATTTAATTATGTATGAGAAATACCATATACACAAACAAAGAATGGACTGATAATAAACATAACATTACTTTATTTAAAATTGAACTTAAGCATTACATTAAAAAAGCAAAAAGGATGTATAGATTTTTTCAATCCTTTCCCTTATTGGTTATTCCCTGGCCTGTCGATTGTTTGTTTTTCTGTTTGTTCCTTTGATGCTTTTATGAATGTCACTGATAATAGTTGAAAACACTGTGATCCTCTGTGTGTATGTTGTGTTACTGTTATTATGCAATAAAAAAAATAAAAAAATACTGTGATAAATAGCCAATACGCAAATTGATAACTTTTTTTAAAATCTCTATTTTTTTTCTGTATGAATATATATGTTTTTAAACGACTATTTCGGTTTAAATATTATTTAAATATTTACTGTACTATCTTTTAAATTCATATTACTTATGCATTTATGATTTTACTAGACCAAAAACATTATGTTATTAATTTAAAAGAAATCAAATAAGAACACTTTTACATTCATATTTTTGATTATTTGTAAGTGACATTATTATAATGTTTTAGATTTTTTAAAGTTTATGATTATTTTGATGCCCATCAGAAAGAATAAAACACAACAAAACACACAAGCATACAGTTCAGTTTCTGTTTATAAAATTAAACATTTACATTTGTAAACATACATAAGCATACACTGCATTCTGTTAAAAATCTTTTCAAAAATAACTATTTACAGTCACACCTTCCTCCTGTGCTGCACTGTGATGTTTATATATATTTATATACAGGCAGAAGCAGTGTTATTTGTAGAGCGAGAGCTGAGGACAGTGGTACAGACACATGTAGGCGTCACACAGTAAGCGGCGGACAGGATCTCTGAGCGACGAGGCATCCAGACGAGAGATTTCATCCACCGACAGACTCAGATAACGGCCGACCTCCGGACACGAGCGCACCTGCGGCACGTTAAAGCCGTTCTCTCCTCCTGCACACACACACAGACACACACACAGACACGCACACACAGACACGCACAGACACACACACACACACACACAGACACGGACACACAGACACACACACACAGACACACAGACACGCACAGACATGCACACGCACACACAGATACACACACAGACAGACACACACACACGCACTCACGCTCACACACACACACACACACACACACAGACACGGACACACAGACACACACACACAGACACACAGACACGCACAGACATGCACACGCACACACAGATACACACACAGACAGACACACACACACGCACTCACGCTCACACACACACACACACACACACACAGACACGGACACACAGACACACACACACAGACACACAGACACGCACAGACATGCACACGCACACACAGATACACACACAGACAGACACACACACACGCACTCACGCTCACACACACACACACACACACACACAGACACGGACACACAGACACACACACACAGACACACAGACACGCACAGACATGCACACGCACACACAGATACACACACAGACAGACACACACACACGCACTCACGCTCACACACACACACACACACACACACAGACACGGACACACAGACACACACACACAGACACACAGACACGCACAGACATGCACACGCACACACAGATACACACACAGACAGACACACACACACGCACTCACGCTCACACACACACACACACACACACACAGACACGGACACACAGACACACACACACAGACACACAGACACGCACAGACATGCACACGCACACACAGATACACACACAGACAGACACACACACACGCACTCACGCTCACACACACACACACACACACACACAGACACGGACACACAGACACACACACACAGACACACAGACACGCACAGACATGCACACGCACACACAGATACACACACAGACAGACACACACACACGCACTCACGCTCACACACACACACACACACACACACAGACACGGACACACAGACACACACACACAGACACACAGACACGCACAGACATGCACACGCACACACAGATACACACACAGACAGACACACACACACGCACTCACGCTCACACACACACACACACACACACACAGACACGGACACACAGACACACACACACAGACACACAGACACGCACAGACATGCACACGCACACACAGATACACACACAGACAGACACACACACACGCACTCACGCTCACACACACACACACACACACACACAGACACGGACACACAGACACACACACACAGACACACAGACACGCACACACAGACACGCACACACAGACACAGACACGCACACACAGACAGACACAGACGATTAAATCTACAGTAAAAAACTGTTTTTCAAAGAATATGAGCATTAAAGCAAATTAAAAATAAAATAATAAAAACAAAAATAAAATAATATTATAAAAAAAATAAAATAAAAAAAAATAATACAATTATTCAATTAATAAAATTATTAAAAATCAAATATGAATTGTTTTATTTAATAAATATATTTAATATAATTAAAAATGAATAATACTAGATATATTTAAATATAATCTGAATTATCTAATGAAACATTACCCTCTCGGTCGGCCATGCTGTCGAAGAACAGCCAGTCCGTGGGTTGGGGTCCGTGTTTGACGAAGCTCACGTAGTGACTCGTCTCGATGCAGGTGACGGCGAACAGATCCATCAGTTGCCGGGCCCCGTGAACTGGCCCTTCCCAGCAGCCCCGGGGCCTCTGTGTGTGTTACCTGTGTGTTACAGGTGTTGCAGTACTGTTTTAACTGTCCAGGTGTGATGTCAACATCCTCGTAACACTGCAGACACTCCCACTGCGCCACCGACTGACAGATACTGCACTGCCGCAGAGCTGCACACACACAATAATAAACATTTCAAAAATCATAAATAAACAATACATTAATGAAATATGCTACATGAAGAAAAATATAAAATATTTTACTTACACATTTATACCTTTGTTTATCAAATTTATATAGTTGTTATAAAATAAATATGTGATAATAAAGAAATAAAGGTATTTGAAATAAAAATATTAAATAAAAAAATGCACAATAAAAGCATCAAATAAGCATAATAAATTGTAATTGAATAAATAATATTACAAATGAATAAATAAATAAATAATGCAAAAAATCAATAAATGAAAATTAATAATAAATAATTAATAAATAATAAACAAATAAAAATATTTTCTAAATAATAAAATAAATCTGATATACAATATAAAATAAAAAATAAATTAATTTACAAATATAAATGTTTTCTTACATATATTTACAATAAAATAAACGCTAAAATACGAAAGAACAATAAAACACCAAAGAATATCAATGAAAACAAAAATTCACTAACTGAAGGAAACATTTAATAAAAAATAAGAAAATTATTAAATAAATTATAATAAAATAAATAATGGAACTAAATAAATAAAAATAATGGAAAATCAATTAATAAAAATTTATAAAAAAATAATGAATAAACAATAAACAAATAAAAAAAATAAAAATAAACACTTTTTATAATAATAATGAAGAAATAAAAATATTTTTAAATAAAATAAATATCCCATTATATACATTTAGTTTAAAATAAATGCAAAAAAATACAAATGAATAACTTTTTTAATTAAATGCTACAAATATTTAATCATAAATACAAATAATAAAAATTAACATGATGTAAATATGATAATGAAAGTGAAAATGCTAAGTAGTGAGTGAATGAGTGCAGCGCTCTGACTCTCGTCCAGCAGGTCAGTGATGTCGAGGCTCAGCGAGGGCAGGATGGCGTCAAACATCTTGAACTCTTTGCCGAATCTGGGCATGAGGAGCGGCAAGCAGGACGGAGCCTGGAGAAAACAACAGCCGCGTGATCAGATGAGCCTCTGTGTATTTCACACTGTGTGTCTGTAGGTGTGTGTGTGGTCACCTCCGTGAGCTTGAGTCCCGAGTGCATGAAGGAGGACTCGAGTAACGCCTGAACGCTGGAGACACGCAGGAGCCCCGCGGCTGGAGACACGAGCGGAGAGAGCGGAGGAGACGCCGGAGGAAAGAGCTGATAGATGAAGCACTCCTGTGCTTTCTGACTCACAGACCTGCTCACACACACACACACACAGAGACACACACTCTCTCACACACACACACAC